AGACCGACTACTTTGTGGAGAGCAGCGAGCCCCAGGGTTGATGGGGGAAAGCTGAACAGCCCTCACGAAGCCCTGGCACAGCCCAGGCAGCTCAAGAGATCACTCAAAGACTTCTTACTCAAAGCCAGATGGTAAACATGAGTGAGAGCTAATGCCACTCAGAGGGAGAGCCAAAGAGCTAATCCGCTGACACGTTCCTCAAAGCTGGCTGATAGCTTGGCTCACACTTGTCTGTCTTTGGCTTTGAGCTTCATGCCCCAGAGGCCACGCATGGGCGGTCTGAGAACAGACCACCACCAGGAACAACCTCACTCGCTCACACCTGTTTATTCTCCTCCTTCCAGAGGAGACAGCCCAGGTTCACCAAGTTCAAGTCCTCCATTCTGTCGTGCAATACCCCAACCAGTGGGGACTCTGCCCCTAGTCCTCTGCCCCTGCTCTTTCTGGGCCATCTCTTGAGAACGCTGGACTAAACTGACATACAGTTATCAGTGGGGTCTTACAAAGCTGGGCACAATGGTATCCCTTTGGTTCAGGAGTGAGAGCTAGCCAATAAGCTCCTATAATGAGCAAGAAAAACTCTGAAATGGAGATGGTCACTGGCCACTTACTACAGTTTTGGTTTTGTCTGCTTAATGTATATGGGTGTTTTGTCTCCAGAGTGTCTGTGCACGTGTCCCTGTTGTCCTTGGAGAGCAGGTGGATCCCCCGGAACTGGAGTTACAGACAGTTGTAAACCATTGTGTAGGTCCTCAGAATCGAACCCATGTCCTCTGGGAAAGCAGCTAGTTCTGTTAACCACTGAGCCGCCTCTCCAGCCCTTTACAGCTTTGTTTGCAGTTCTGAAGACGGAGACCCCTGGGGCCTCTCACCTGCCATGGAAGCACTCTCCCACCCAGTTATGTCCCCAGCCCTGTTTCTTAATTTTAAAATTTGAGACATGGTCTCACTAGGTTACCCAGGCTGGCCCACAACTCACTATCTCAGGCAGGCCTTGGAATGGCCCAAGTTCCCGAGATGCTAGGATTCTAAGCTTGTGCTGCCAGGCCCAACCAGCTTTGCTCATTTACTATCTGAGCATTTGTGGATACACATAGTACTAAGTCTAAGCAAAGGCAACTTAAACTCTTAGGTATTAAGTACCATAAAAAGGACTGCATTAATAATAAGTCTCTAAGAGCATCGGCCATTGCCAAGGCTAAGGCTGGAATTCCCAGGTAAACTCTGGTTTGTAGGCATTTGAGTCACATCGTCTCACTGAATTCACTAAGTGGGGCATACCACCACCTTTCTGCTCCTACAGGGTACGAACAGGTCAATGAGGTAAACCACTATTTGAGAGATGGCTCAGCAGTTAGGCACACTGGCTGCTATTGTAGAGGCCAGGGTTCCGTGCTCAACACCCACCCGGTTTCTAACCACCACTGTGATCCAGTTGCAGGGGATTTGACGCCTCTTACTGCATGTGCCTGAGGTCATGCATGCAATACACTCGTGCAAGACACAGAACATAAATAAATCTGAGGGATGCATTGTTAAGTCCTGGAGACTTTATGGAGAACCCATTCTTAACTTCAGGGATGAGCAGGAATAACTGGGAAGTGCCTGCCAGAAGCCATTTGTGTCTGAACAAGCACACAGGTGATGGGCAAGTGGGTGGCATATAGCAGTGTCTGATGAAAAGGGGAAGAAACCTACGGATCTGGTTCGGTTGGTAGAGTGGCTGCCTTGCCTGCATACGCGGGAAACCCTGGGTTTGACCCAGGTGTGATGGCACACAGCTGTAATCCTAGCATTCTGGAGGTGGAAGCACAACAGTCGGAAGTTCAAGGTCATCCTCAGATACATGGCAGGTTTTGAGATCAGCGCGGGCTACAGGAGACCCTGTCTCGAAAACAAAACTAAACAAAACCTAAACAAACCAAATCCCCACTTCTAATGGTGAGTCCCACGGACTTTTCTCCAATCCGATATGACCACAGAGGACAAAGCTTGCACACACAAGGTTATTCCTAGTGACACTGGCGGCTTTCCACCTGACCTCATGAATAGAAACCATCAACAAATAAGCCTCTGAGAACCAACGTCTAATGAATTAACATAATCCAGGGAGCTCCTGGCCTGGGGCCTTCTCTTGTTTACAAAATACACCAGCTACAGGAAGCATATTTTAAGAGATTACCAAGTTCTTAGGCTAAGTGGTCATTCTCCAACCCTGTGTACACTAAAAGCACAATGCTAATAGGCCCAGCTCTACAGGTTTTCTCTGTGCTAATCCTGAGTCATCGCTGAGGCCATATTAAAGTGCACTGGTGAAAAACCGACTGTGTAAGTTGAACCGACTTGAACCCTGAACCCCATGGTCACACTTACTTCTCAAAGCTGGACTTCCACAACAGCTTTTTCCCATTCACGTTAGAAGCCCTAGGGGGCAAAAATAGGTAGAAGAGCCTATCTCCAAATTGTACATTGTAACTGTAGAATAGCATTACGAGGCTACGCACACACGCAAGGGCACAATAGCCCACAACAGGCACATCGTATGTGTAAAATAATGTATAGGGCTACCCACAGATGCGTGGGTGGGCACAACAGCTCACATTGGGCACATTGTATATGTGGAAATATGTATGCAGCCGTACACACGAATATAACAGCTGCTCCCATTTGTGGCTTCACTTCTTGCAGTTTCAATTCCCCAGTCAACCATGGCCCAAAAATACCGATTGGAAAATCCCACAAATCAACTGCTGTACCAGTCTCAATAAGCATGATGCCTTCTTCACATCAGTTCTGCTGTCCTCCCTGAGATATGAATTGCTGCTCTTCCCACTCCGTATACATTATATACACTCTCTATAGCTACACAGGGGCACGCTACCAACTAATGATCAGACTGACTGCCGTGGTAGCAAGTGCTTGTGCTCATAACTCTGAGGTGACTGAATAATGACCTCAGGCACAAGAGTACAATTTGAATACACCAAAGAGAAGCCCTATGGTGCTTCCTTTAATTGCACAGAGCATGGTGGCGCATGCCTTTAGTCTCAGCACTTGAGAGGTAGAGGCAAGATCTCTGTGAGTTCTAGGCCAACTAGGGATATATAGAAAGACCCTGCCAAAAGAGAGAGAGACAGACAGACAGAAGAAAAACAGCAGGTCAGTATGCCCTTGCCTGGCCTTTGGGACTGCCTGATAATTTAGGCATGAAGAAATGAAGAACCTCTTCCTTGTATTGGCACATTTTCAATTCACAGCCCAAAATTACTTTCTTCTCTAGTAAATCAGCTGCACACCCTAATGGTAATAAATCTCAACACTTCCTATTTCTATAAGTGGCAAAGTCACCCTTTCTTTTCTTTTTTTCTTTTTAGGCAGTCTCATTCTGCAGCCCTGGCTGGCCTGGAAATCAGAGAGCCACCTGCCTCTACACCCTGACTACAGAAATTAAAGATGTGTGCCACAACACCCAACACAAACTCAGCTTGTTTTTTGAGACACGGTCTCTCTTTCTTGCTGTTTTATCATTCACAATGTAGAAGAGATCCATCTGTCTCTCTGCCTTCCAAGTGCTGGGATTAAAGGCCTTCACCACCACCAAGCCCAGCTACAAACTCATCTCAAGAAAAAACGGTCAACACCCAGCAACTAACAAAAGTTCTTGCTGTTGAAGCAAGGCAGGTAATGCTTGCCTAGTTAAGTAAATACCACTAGGGAGTTGTGCATAAATTGAGATTTAAGGTTTAAAGATTCCCTTTATTAGCCTTGGAATGGTGGCTCATGTGTTTAATTCCAGAACCTGGAGTGCTAAACCAACAGGCCAGCCATAAAGGCAGCCTAGACTACATAGCAAGTTCTAGGGATATACTGAGACACTGCCTCAAAAATAAATAATTTTTTTTCTGCATCAAAGTTAAACAGCATCAAAAGTCAAGTAATTTTAGGCCAGCCTGGGCCAAGTGAGAGACACATGATCTAAAGCAAGGTGGATGAAGAGGCAGCATGAGAACGGGTTACAAGCAAGAGATATAGGCCCAGCCACTTCAAAGCACTGGATCCCTTAATTAAAAAGGCCCCAGAGCTGATGCATGTCAAGGGCTGCCCAAGCTGAAAGCTGGTACATTCCCTTTTCTAACATCAGAGTCATTTCCATGGCTAAGGTCTCTTGGCTTAGCTCAAAACCTGAGCAACCAGCTGCCAGCAACTGACACACAAGACAGTTTCCTTCTTCATTAACAGGCCATCAGTTCCTGCATAGGGGAGTCGTGCCTTCACTAACGTTACACAACCCATTTACTTCCTCTCCATTAGTGACTTCAAGTGTACCTTGGAGAGATGCTACAGAGCAGGAAATGTGGAGTTGGGCTAATCTGATGCTTGCAAAAGACTGAAGAAAAGAGGTATCATCTAGGATAAAGTTAGAAAAAGGCCTAGCAGGCTTGTGTGAGGAGGGAGGTTGGGAGATGGGACCCGTCTTCTGTCAATTTGCTGAGGCAGATGGGCCCTGCTGTGAGAGCTGCCCCCTCCTGGGAAAAAAGCCAGTAGGTTGCCTCCTCTCTCCACTGCTACATATTAAGCCTGCAACTGTTTGCGTTCAATCTCAGCTACATTCTGCTCACCAGCGTCAGCGCTGCCAGCGCAGGTGCCCTCGGTTAATCACCCAGCTCACTCCAGAGCCACTTCCAGCAGGGAAGAATGTTCCAGGCAGCCAGCCAGCTGCAATTTTTTTCTCTAAATCTGCCCATTCTGATCCCTAAAGACTGGTTTAAAGTTTATTTTTCGCCTAAAATGCTTTCTTCAAACAAGAAGATAACAAATCTAGGACTTCAGTTTAGAAAAGCAGATTGAATGAGGAAGGAGAAACAAAGTCTGTAGGTAGACGTCAGGACCAGGTGGGAAGTGGAGGTGAACAACAGGCTGAAAACACTTTCAGGAAAGACATTTTCTGAAAGTGCTGAAGGACAAAAAAACCAACAACACATTCATTTTGAAAAAGTCGTTTATTTTTTTCCACATAATATTCAAAATAAGTGTCTCACAGATAAGAATTAGTAGGAGTCAGAAAACAGCCTATGGAAGGAAGCCATTTTGGACACTGGAAAATGCTAATCAAAAAAGCCAACATTCACATATATGTGTCTGTTTCACGGGAAAAGTTCACCATCCAAAGTGCAAGACCAAGCGTTTTACCATATGAGAATGCTGACAGTCTCCTAAAATGTTAGCTGACTATTTAAACGGGCTCCACTGGACAAGAGTCCCTAATAGAATCTGGACAGATCAATCTGGCTTTGACCCCAGTCAACTACAGAGTCCCGCACAGACTGACAGAGACAATGCACGGTGTGGCCCACAGACTGCATAGCCCAGAGGACAGTGAAGCATCCCGAGATCAGCGCCTCACTCTATGCGGCTGTTGAGGGCTCCATGCCACGCCAGTCCCTAAAGGAGGAAGGGGAACCTTCATCCTCTGTCCTGAAACCTCCTGTCCTGAGATAACTCAGTTTTACCAAAGAGATAAGATTTCTGTTATTGTCTAAGTGACACCAAAAGAAAGTCATTTCATGAGCAGGATTTGGCTTTAAGCCAAAGGGATACTCCCCCAAAAAAAGTCATAACCGATTCCTACTACCCCTTCCACCCTATCTAAAAGCTCCTGACAGCTAATACAAGGTGCTGGTACAGGTGAGAGGGAGTATGTAATAAGGAAACTTTCAGACACATTAAACTTTATTTAAAGCCTAGAAAATGCTAAAAAAAAGTAATTACAAATAGCAAATAGGCATGCTTCCTGCATTCTGCAAAAGCTGGACACTACACAGAAATGGCTTTACTTGAGGTACGGAGCAGGGAAAAATTTGCCTTGTTGACCTAGGTTGGTGGCAGACTTGCTCTTGTTCCCAAATCTAAAAAAACAAAAACACAAAAAACATACACACAGATAATGAATGAGAAAAGTGCTCTGCAGGGCTGGCGAAGGCAGTGTCAAAGAAAGGCATTACTCTATACACCTGGTGCCTGGGATCATCCCTGGAACCCTAGAAAGGTGGAAGGAACGAGCCAACAAGGCTGTCCTCCACATGGGTGCCGCAGGAACACACATACTATGCACATGCACACCAATACACATTTTTAAAAAAAGTACTCTATAAAAAATATTGAATAAACAATCACATTGTTATTTGATATAAAGAACTAAATACAGGATACATCTAGGAAGCTATTTTGTAAGGTGCTGCTGATCACCCAATAAGATGGGTCACAGCAAAGCCCTTCATTTTGACAGGAAGTTTCCTTTAACATCTAGTTACTTCTATTTCAATGATTCTTTTCATTTCTTTAGATAAGGCCCTGGCTAGCCGTGGACTCCTGGTAATTCTCCTGCCTCAGTCTCCCAAAGGCTAGGACTGTTGGGACTGCAGGCATATACATCACATGTCTAGCTTCAATAAACTATTGCCGTAAAGCCTGGAGACCTGAGTTCAATTCCTAGGAGAGCTGACGTACCGGGCATGCTCCTACCTCAGCCTGCTGCTGTGACTCACGCATGAGTACACAGGTACACACATACACACGCACGAATGCACACGCACACCTTTCGGCATACCTGGGAGTGCTCTTGGAGAGGTTGTATAATCTCTGTGACAGGGAACTTGATAAAGGAGTCTTGACAAGTTGGAATTCAGGAGTGGTCATGGGCCCCAGTAAGCTCACTTCAAATGAAATTCAGACATATTTTTAAGAGAATGGGAAGAAGAAAGCACCTTTGAAGATGGGCAGTTTTATACGGACTGCCTTCTGAAGGCCAGACATCTAGCAGTTCAGAGCTCGTTTTGCCCCTGTTTTGTAACTTGCTCCTGAATCATTTGAACTATCCAGGCAACTACACCATGAATAGCTGGCACTCACTTCCAGATTCAGACCATTCTTAAGCTCCAAGCCTCACACCAGAACATTTGTCTTTTACATATATTAGAAGAAATAGCCAGGCATGGTGGTGCACACCTCTAATCCCAACACTTGGGGAGGCAGAGGCAGGAGCATCTCTGAGTTCAAGACCAGCCTGGTCTACAAAGTGAGTCTAGAACAGCCAAGATTACACAGAGAAAAAAAAAAAAAAAAAAAAAGCACAACCAAAAACCAAAAAGACCAAACCCAAACAAAAAAATCCCCACTTTTTTTTTTTAATACTTTGTTATGTATACATTGTTCTATCTTCATGTACACCTGCAGGCCAGAAGAGGGCACCAGATCTCATTATAGATGGTTGTGAGCCACCATGTGGTTGCTGGGAATTGAACTCAGGACCTCTGGAAGGGCAGCCAGTGCTCTTAATCTCTGAGCCATTTCTCCAGCAAACCCCCCCCAACACTTTTCTTAAAAAGAAACTTAATGTTTATGTGGTGGGAATGAAACAATTACTCATAAAATTGCTAGCGGCAACATAAATGGCAAATGTCACATAAGAACCCAATGGAAAGCCAGTGAGAGGACTAGTGGGCAAAGGCACTTGCCACCAAACCTTATGACCTGGATCCGATCCTTGGGACCCACATGGTAGGAGGGGAGAACCAATTCCCTCAGGTTGTCCTCCGGCCCCCACAAATGCACAAGGACATATACACCCACACACATATAATAAAATTAATAACAACTTTTTGAAAAAGAAACCAAATCAGTAAAACATGCCAACAAACCTAAAAAAGAGAATTAACCCTTACAGTATTCATGGTGCTGGGTGTAGCACTCTGAATGATGTGAAAAACTGTTGGAATTTTCGAGGTAAATATGAGGGTTGCGGGGGGCTGATTAGAGGAGCTGAGAAAATGGTCTCATGGACCCAGACTGGCCCTGAGCTCAGCTCGCAGGTGAGGACAGCCTTGAGCTCTCCCTCCTGCTTTCACTTCCCAAGTGACTACAGATGCTCTTCACCACACCCAACCCACTGTATATCAAACAGCTGGAACAAAATGGGCAATGGGAAATGGGCACCCGGCCAAGGCCCTGCAGAAGCAAGTGTGCGGCAGAACTGACCTTTAACGTCTGGTGTCCGTGGTGTCGAGTTTCCATTGCCTCGCTGGATGTCCACGTTCTCCTGGTCCACCATCATGAACTGGTTCCAGTATTCCAGGGGCAGAGAGAGCAGGCGCTCCACCACCTAAGGCACCAACGTCAGGGCTCAGTGCGTGGAGCCCTTTGTGCTGCCGTGTCTCTGAGACAGTCTCTCTCTGGGTCCAGACCAGGCTGTGGCGATGCTCCTGGCACAGCCTGCCAATGCATGTGCTCAGTACGCAAGGCTTATTTCTGTTACTATGCCATGCCTGTGCATGCAAAGGCCGTACTTCACGTGTGCGAGCCCGAGCACATGCATCCCTACCTTAAGCTGGCGCTTGATGTCCTGGAACACTGTCACTGGATCTGGATTAGGCACAGTGTGGGCGACTATTGTAGGGCCAAAGACTTTAGCTAGATTGGCAATATCCATCTTAGTGTTCGGACTCTGAGCCACTCTAAACAAAAGAGTACGTAAAATTAAAAAACTCACTATTCCTCTTCAATATACACCAACATGTACATTCTGTAAGAAAACAACCTCCTAACACCTCCCAACACCCAGTGCACACTACCTTCTCCTTGCAAAGTCCCCTAGCTCCCAGGACAACTTTCTGCCGCACTAACCTCTGCAAGTGGATCATGAGGAAGGCTAAGGTGTCTCTGTTGGCCTGGGGCAGTTCACTGACAGCCTGGTACATGGCGGCTGTGCTGTTGTCTTCATCTGTTATCTCTGTAATGAAAAGAAAGCACTAAGAGGCCCAGACTCGTCCCCTTGACAGCAGCTTCTAAGTTATCGACCACAAGGGCCCATCTCTACAGTGAGCTTCTGAAACCTCTGATGAGGTTCATGACAGCATCAGACTCTAGTTTCATTAACAAGCAGGACACTGGCTAACAGTTCAATGAGGAGTCAGAACTTCCTAAAAATCACCCTGCAGTTAGAGAAAGCAGTGGCAACCCATCTGCTGGGAAGACAACTATCAGCAGTGATAATCATCAACAAGGAACTCACTCATACTGCTATGTATCAGGTGCTATTTTAAGTGTGAGGATAAACCAAACAAAAAAGGGCCTTGTCTATGAAATAAACACTCTTTTGGAAAAGCTGGTCAGGAAAAACAAAAACAAAACACATGTCATAAAGAAACGAAGAAAAACATATGACACATGAAATGAAGAAAAAAGAGGCCCGTGGAGTGCTAGAAAGTCACAGGACCTGCTGCTTCACACAAGACGGTCAGGAATGTGGTGTTGTTGTTGTTTTTGAAACTGGGTCCCAGGAAGCCTAGTCCAGCCTCAGATTCACTATGTAGCCAAAGCTGCTCTCAAAAGTCCAATCACCCCGCCTCTACCTCCCAAGCACTGGGACTACCATGTCATACACCTGGCTTTGGAAAGCTGTTTCCAAGGACAATATATCTGAAGAGAAGAAAGAGAGGAAGGGGAATAAAAGGGCAAACTACAAAGAAACTAGAGGGAAACAGTTGGGGCTCAGAGTACAACAAATACGAAGGACTTGACGTAGGCGTATGCGAAGAAATCCCAGTCTCTGGACTGGAGAAATGTTCCAGAGTTAAGAGCATGGCTGCCCTTGCAGAGGACCTGGGTTCAGTTTCTAGCACCCACACGCCGGCTCACAGCAATCTGTGACTCCAGTTCCAGGGGCCCTGACACCCTCTTCAGGCCTCTGCAGACCCTGCGTGCCTATGTGCACAGAAAGGCACAACACCTATATTCATAAAGTAAAAAGAAACCCAAGACTCCAGAGTTAGAAGAGCAAGGAAAGGGATAAAGCAAAATGGTGTTGGAGAGAAGAACCAGGAGCCAAGTCACACGGGGTCTTTTCAACCATGTTAAAGACTGGAGTTCAGTCTAAAAATGATGGGCAAGCCAGATGGTGGTGGTGCATGACTTTAAGCCCAGCACTTGGAAGGCAGAGGCAGGCAGATCTCTGAGTTTGAGACCAGCCTGGTCTACAGAGTGAGTGCCAGGACAGCCAGGGCTACATAGAGAAACCCTGTCTGGAAAAACAAAACAAACAGACAAAATGAAATAGTAAAATAAAATAAAAATGATGGGTGGAAGACATAAGAGACATCAAGTAACTTAGACTGTGACAGGACCACACCAGCACCTGTATAAAGAGCATCTTGTAAGAGGCACAGGCAGAAACAGGACAATCTGCCAGCAGACTCTTAGCATATTCCAGGGACAGTTAGGTACCACGACTCGTGACAAATGCCAAATTTAAGGTGTATTTACAAGGCTCTGACAAGATTTGTGGCGGAAAAGAAAGGAATCAAAGCTGGTTCTGATTTCAAAGGGGCAACCTAAAACTTGACCAAGAACAAAAAGCAATAGCAAACCCTGCTAAGTCCCATCTAGTTTAATTCTTGCCTAATTTTATGTGTATGTGTGCTTTGCCAACATGTATAGGAGCCAGAAGGGGCGTCAGATCCCTTGGGTCTGGAGTTAGATAGTATGACCCAACCATGTGGATGCCAAGAATCAAAATCAGAACCTCTTGAAGAGCAGCCAGTGTTTAACCATTTAGCCATCTCTCAGCCATCTCTCAGTGTTTAACCATTTAGCCATTTCTCAGATGAGAAAGAAGTATATACTCAGAGATCCACCTGCCTTTGCCTCCCAAGTGCTGGAATTAAAGTCATGCCCCATTGCCACCACCCAGCTTATTCATCATTTCAGACTGAACTCCAGTCTAAAATGGTTGTATTAATAGCTGACGTTTGCTTTATCTAGTCAACTGTCTGAGTACCCACTACATTTCAGGCACTGTAGTGGGGAATGGAAAAGTAGTAAAATGTGTGAACAAAGTCCAGTTCTGGAATCACAGTCAAGTTCCAAAATCAAGTTCTGCCCTTACCTGCTGCCTCCATGAAGGCTTTACTTAGCCAAAAGGTCAGAAGGGGTTCCTTGAGGTTTCGAAGGAAGTCTTTCAGGAGGCTGCAGATGGCATGGATATCGTCCACTTTGCTGAGGAGAGGTACAGTTTTCACTTTGAGGAATTTCTCCTTCAGCTCTCTGACTGTTCGGTCGCAGCCTGAGATCCTGTATAAGCCTGCCTGTTATAAAGACAACACTTGCTTAGCAACTCCCAGGCTACCGACAGACAGAACAAACACACCCTGTCCAGAGTCTCCTCACCTCAGTCAGGCCTCGCTGCTCAATCTCATTCACACAGCTGACAACAATAGCGGGAATCATTGGAGAAGTCTGAGACACAAAATCTGCCAACATTCCCTGGAAAAAAGGAGCTTCATTATTTATACCACTGAGGCCAAGAGAGGAAGGCCACATGCACAGAGTTGCCATTGAACACTAGTGGATTATATCACTATTTGAATTCTATTCTCAAGTACACTTTAGAACAGCCTCGGGGGATGAGAGACGGCTCAGCAATTAAGAACATGTACTACCTTCTAGAGTACTTGGGTGGCTCACAGCCATCTGTAACTCCAGCTCCAGGGGAATCTGGCATCTCTGGCCTCCAGAGGTTACCTGAACTCATGTGCACACAACACCCCACTCCCTTATAGTTTCAAGAGTAATAAAATTTAAGAAAAATCTTGGAGGAACAAGGTGCAGCTCCCTCAGTAGGGTGCATGCCTAGCATGCATGAGGCCCTGGTTTTGACCCCGTGGTGACAGATGCCTGTTAACCAAGCACTCTGGAGATAGAAGCGAGAGGACCAGAGTTTGGAGGTCATCCTAAGCTACATGAGCCTCAAAACAAAAACAAACAGTGTTGGCTGCTTTTCCTACTTTCATGCTGTGATTGCTTTATATATACTATATTTTTTCATGGGCAAGTAATAATGCCACCAGCTATGACTACTTCCTTTTCTTTTACCCAAAGACAAGAGAAAGCAGTATTGAGGAGATTACAGCTGTGAGCTGGGTGTGGTGGCACAGCCACAGTCTCTAATCTTGCAGAGGGCGGCAGATCTTTTGAGTCTGAGGCCAGCCTGGTCTACATAGTGAATTCCAGGACAGCCAGGGATATGTAGAAAGACCCTGCCTTGAAAACAGCCAGCCATAGTGGCACATGTCTGTGATCCAGCTGAGCCTGGTCTACAAAGCGAGTCCAGGACAGCCAAGCCCACACACAGAAACCCTGTCTCAAAAAAAAAAAAAATCACAACAGGCAGTGATGGCACACACCTTTCATTACAGAGCTCAGGAGTAGAGGCAGTCAGATCTTTGTGAGTTCCAGGCCAGCCTGGCTTACAAAGCAAGTTCCAGGATAGCTAAAAGCTACATACAGGATGTGTAAAAAATTCAGTGTATATGTTCTTCAATACTATAATATGCTATAGCTTAAAATATATAATATAAAGAAATTCATGTGCTGGTTGTTTTGTAAGCTAAGTGTTAAAACTCTGCAAGGATACTACTTTCAAAAAAATTGTGATCATGTTCGGCCAAGTAAACAGAGAACAGAGAACAAGGCTCTTTCAGTTTGTAGACTTAACCTAAATAAGCTGATAATTTTTAGAAAATAAAATAAACAGGTATAGTGGCACAGGCTTTTGGTCCCAGAATTTGAGAGGCAGAGACAGGCAGATCTCTGTGCATTCAAGGGCAGCACATGTGTCTTGAGTCCAGGACAGCCAATGCTACACAGAGAAATCGTCTCTAAAAACAAAACAAAAATAAGTAACAAATGGTGTTTTGCTCCCATGAATCTTACCTCTCCAATCTTAACAGGAGTTCCCACCAGAGGAGAAATGCAGGGAAGGGGACATCGCTCCCGACATTCTGGGTGAGAGACCAAACGACAGTCTCTACATTTCAGAGACAGCTTGCCAAACTTGATTCGCTTTCCACAGGGAACACAAGATTCAGGCTTAATAACCTAAAGAGAATACAGGGCAGAAGCAACAGAATGATATGAATCACCAAGTTATTGTCAATCACATGCATTAAGCACACAGTATGTACGAAACAGCGTTTCAGGGCCACTACATATTTTAATGAAATTCCCACAAATTTTGTAAAATAGGTTTTGTTTTCTTCATTTTAAGAATAGCAGTAGCCAGGCATGGAACATACCTATAACATTCAGTAGGCAAAGGCAGGTGGAGCCCTGTGAGTTTGAGGCCAGCCTGGTCTACAAAGTGAGTCACGGCTACCCAGAGAAATCCTGTCTCAAAAAACCAAATAACAACAAAAAACAAACAAACAAACAACAACAGAAACCAGTGGTCTGTTGGGTATGGTAGCACATTCTTTAATTCAAGTACCTAGGAGCCAAAGGTAGGCAGATCTCTGTGAGCTCAAAACCAAACCAGGACTACAAAATTAAACTCCTGACTCAAAAAAGGGAGTGGTCACCAGCTGCCAGCAGCTCCTCTCTTAGGGGTGGATCCCTGTGGGCCCCTCCTCCACCCATGCAGCAGGAGGTGGAAGAGCATTGTTCTCTGGAGGCGTGGCTGCTGAGGAGTTGCTCCCGCTCACACCCATGCACACATTAGCAGCACTAATCAGACTCAGCTAATCTTTATGAGGGCACGGGACATCACATCGCAAGGGTAGCCCAAGAGTTGGGGAAGGTAGTACCGGTGGTGACTAGGATCAAAACACATATGCATGTCTAAAATTCTCCAAGAATAAGCAAAGAATGCCACACCTTTAAAGGCAGCTAATCACAAGTTTGACATGATATAGAGAAACTGAAAATGTCATCTATTATTCATTGTGTATAAAAAACAGTAGCCACATAGGCAAAAGTCTGGAAGATCTTCAGAAAATTATGCATAGTTACCATATAACCCAGTAAGTCCATTTGCAGGTATGCAAATCCAACAGGAACTAAAATGTATCCACATAGAACCTGTTGACATATGTAGCTTTCTTCCTAGCAGCTGAAAATGAAACCCTAAAAGTCTGTCCACTGATGAGTGGATGTGTGGTATACGCTTTCCATACAGTGAAATATTATTCACTGTAGAAAGAAACAGAGAGAGAGAGAGAGAGGAAGAAAGAAAGAGAGAAAGAAAGAGAAACAAATAAACAAACAAACACACTGGCTGTACACAGAATGGACGAGTAAATGGAAGCAGCCAGACAAAGGCACACAGGCTATGTGACCTCATGTGTATGAAATGTCTTAAAATAGACAAACCCATACAAAGTGCTATCTATGGTGGGAGCCTATGGCTATTGGATGTTGGTATGGCACAGAATTGTGGGGGAAATTCCATTAGGTATAGGATTTCATTTTGGGGAGGTGAAAATGTTCTAAAAATGACAGTGGTGACAGATAGCCAATTATATAATTATACTGAATGTCAATGAATTGTGTATTTAAATGGGTGAATGAAGCCAGGCAATGGTAGCTTACACCTGTAATTCCAGCATGTAAGAGACCAGTGAAGCTGGAGCCACACCTCAGAGACTAAGAGCACTCACTGTTATTCAATTCCCAGCATCCACACTAGGCAGCTCACAGTTGCCTATAACTGCAGCTCCAAATGATCTGACACCCTACATTAAGATTGCCAACATCATCAAACTAATTTTATGGGAAAAGTGTACTGCCTGGACTAGAATGTGAGTCACATGGGCTATCTTTTGAGCAAATCTGATGAAAAACATCCTTAAAAATCTGTGTATTAAGCTAGAGAGATGGCTCAGAGGTTAAAAGCACTTGCTGCTCTTTCAAAGGTGCTGAGTTCGATTACTAGCTACCACATGGTGGCTCACAACCATCTGTAATGAGATCTGTACTCTCTTCTGGTGTGTAGGCATATGTGCAGGCAGAACACTATACATAATAAATATTAAAAAAAAAAAAACAACTGTGTATTGGGGGCCAACAAGATGGCCCCATGGGTAAGGCACCTGCCACCAAGCCTAATGGGCTGAGTTCGACCCCTAGGACTCCTCTGATGAAAGAAGAATGATGGCATATGCATGGCCCCCACTGCATTCAGAAAATAATTTCTTTTTAATAAAAAATCATTTTTTATTAAAAAAATGATTTATATTTGATTGTACGTAAAATAAGCTCAATAAAGCCAGGTGTGGTTGTGTACTCCTTTAATCCCAGCACTCGGGAGGCAGAGGCAGGCGGATCTCTGAGCTTGAGGCCAGCCTGGTCTACAGAGTGAGTCTCAGGACATCCAGAACTACACAGAGAAACCCTGTCTTGAAAAACAAAACAAAAAGCTAAACAAAAAGAAACCCAGCCCCCTGGTTCCCCTAAATAAATCCCAGCACAAGGGAGGCCAGAGCAAGAGGGACAACAGAGCTAGAGGCCAACCCAGCCAATGAGAACAAATCTGTCTCCAAAAACAAACTAATTGCCTCAAAGGACATGAAGCCACCAGATTTACCGTCTTTGAGACGAAGTCGTGTAGGCGCGTGCCTCCATTATTTTCAGGTGTCCCTGAATTGTTGGTCTCAGTTCTTGGCTCCAGCGGCTTGCTATTTAAAGCTGAGTCACTGTTCACAGGTTGTAAAGGACCTAGAAAACAATCAAATTTAAACTTCTGTCCTGAAAACTTTCATCCTTATGAATTTTAATCCCATTTTTATTTTTTTATTCTCTTACTTTTCTCTTTTTACCTTCACTTTTAATATAACTGGTAGCAGTGAACACACAAACACACACACACAGTTTCCAAGAGAAGCTACAGCCCTCCACTGGCGGCACACTCTGACTAGCCCCCTGGGGGAAAAGGGCAGCACAGACACCTCCCAGGGCAGCAGCAGGCAGATACTAAGAACCTCCTACCCCCGCTCATGCTGTCCCAAGAGGCTTCTCAGAACCAACTCTCAGTTTCAACCAGTGTTTTATTTCTTTATATTTGGTTTTGGTAGCCAAGGCTAGCCTCAAACATGATTGGTCTTTCTGTCTCGGGACTTGGGTGGTTCACTTTCAGGCATCAAACACCAAACCTGGCTTTTCTTCCTTCCTTAAAAAATTTTTTTTTGAGATTTTTATTATGTGTATGAATGTTCAACTGAATGGATCTGCGCACCACAGATGTAGTGTAGTGCCCAAAGAGGCCAGAAGGAGGTGTCAGATTCCCTAGGTCTAGAGTTACAGAGGGTTGAACCATCCTTTGGGTGTGGGGAACCAAACCTGTGTCCTCTTCAGGAGAGGCTGGTGCTGAGCCATCCCCCCAGCTTCCCTTCGTTCTTTGGTCTCCACATGTATGTAAGGACTGGCCTTGAGCTCAATATGAAGAAGGTGAGGCTGCCCTCCAATTACCAAAGGAAGGTTGGTTTTGTTTGTTTTTTGTTTTTAAGATTTATTTATTCAAAAATATGAGCATTTTATTCGCATGTATGTCTGCATGACAGAAGAAAGCATCAAAACCCATTATAGGTGACTGTCAGCCATCATGTGGTGGCTGAGAATGGAACTCAGAACCTCTGGAAGAGCAGACAATGCTCTTAACTGCTGAGCCATCTCTCCAGCCCCTGCCCTCCAATTACAATCTCCTGGCTCAATTATAGCTGTGCGCCTGTGGAGATAATGGAGAGACTTAGCCATAAATCCACCAGACCTGACTTCCCTCGGCTCCTGGTCCAGGATGGCAATGTCTCAATAGTCGACACAGCTTCAATGGGTCCGCCATCACCGGGAACAGTCACTGTAGTTTTTGCAACTATCGATTCATTTGCCTGAAACAAAAACCATAATGAAAGAAAGATAAACAGGCTCTTTGTTTCTATTTAGGTATTTCCCACTAGGCAAAAATTCCCAAATCCTGGGTAAGTCTTATATTCCAGCCCTAAGCCTTTAAATCAAAATCTCATATACTAAAGGGTTAAAGATATCAGCAAAATACAATCAAACCTATAGCTAACAATTCTGATTTTTGTGTGTTTGCTTGTTTTGTGAAAGGTTCTTGTTATGTAGTTCTGGCTGCCCTGGGACTATGATAAACCAGGCTGGCCTCAGAATCACTGAGATTCACCTGCCTCTGCCTCCAGAGTGCTGGGATGAAAAGTGTGTGCCATTAGACCCAGCTCAGCTGACAGCCCTACTCAAAGCCCACTCGTATGGACAATAAAGGACCTCACTACATAGTGAAGCTCTCCAGCTTCTCTCACAACAGCCCCGTGTAACACTGCCTGCCACCTCACTAGCCCCAGTTCTCTGGCCCTGAGTCCTCTTACCTGGTCTACCGTAGAGCCAATGGAGCAGGTTTTCTTTACAGGCCCAGGAGGGCCATCGATGAACTGTCGGCTATTGGAGCGCTGGAGAGGGGGTGAGAGCAACTTTAGCATCAAGTACAACTGAAGCCCAGAAAACACAATAATCCTATCAGCCAACTACATGCAAGTTCTAAGAACCAGGCTACAATAAATAACAATGTGCTTTTTCTCACGGCCTGTTTGTTAAACAAACACAAAGATGCTTTCAGAGCTATAGAAAAAGAGACAAGCTTTGGAGACAGCATCTGAAGAAGTGGAGCTGTAATCCTATCTAAGGACAAGAAGTCTTTGGAAACACATCAAATACCCTAAGCACGTCAGCACAGAGCTCCATATCCCATTATACACACACTGCATCTGAGGCATGTATTAGCACACAAAACTCCTGCATAAAAATTCACATGACAACTCAAAAACTCAAATACACCCTTTCCCACTGTGTGAGGATGCCCCAGACCCACACAGTAAAGCAGCGTCCCACTGGAAGAGGCACTACTTCAAGCAGCACCTCCGTGGCCCTACAGGGCTGTTGAGATGGCTCAGTGAGTAAAGGCGCTCACTATGCAAGCCTGATGACCTGAGTTCACCCTAGGATTCGCAGGGGCTTGGAGAGAACCAGCTCACCTGCACAGAGACATGCATGTGCCCGCACTCACACAGCCACATTCACAAATGGTAAGACACAAATTTCTAAAGTTAAGTATTGTCCCAGCAGCATTAACTCATTTGCCTTTTGTGCTTGCTTTGAAACAGGATCTCTTGATGTGCTCTTGGCTCTCCTGGACTTGCTCTGTGGACTAGGTGAGCTCCAACTCACAGAGCCACCTCTGCCTCCCAAGCGCCTGGACTAGAGTGTGCCACCACAGCTGACCTATATTTTGTGGTTTTTATGTTTAACAATGTAGGAGATGTGTCAGTTTTTTATCCAAATTTCCCCAAAAAAAGAACTCTTACTAGAGGGGTTTTGGTTTCTTTCACTATTTATTTTTATTTCATGTGTGTGAGTGTTAGCCTGCATGCATGAGTGTACACCACATGCATGACTAAAGCCCGCGGAGGCAAGAAAGGCACGGGGTCCTCTAGAACCAGAGGGAGGCATTTCTGAGTCACCCCATGGGAACTCCATTCAGGCCCTCTACAAAAGCAGCAAGTGCTCTAACAACAGGCCCTTTTTCTTTTTTCTTTTCTTTTTTTTTTTTTTTAAAGGATATCACAATGTAGTTCAACTTGGTCTCAAACTTCCTAAGTAGCCCAGGCTAGCCTCAAATCATTATCTTCCTGACTCAACATGTTAGGACCACAGTGTGGGACAGGATGCCAGGCAAGAGAACTCTCACTTTAAAAATGTAAAGCATCTGAGCCTGAAGGCACAGGCATATAACCCAGCCACTCTCAAGGCTGAGGCAGGAGGATCACAGTCAAAGCTTACCTACACAGCAAGTTAAGGACATCCTGGCACTGAGTGACAAGATATACAGTGGGACAGCACTAGCCTAGAATGTGTGGGACTACGGGTCAAGCCCCCGGGGGAGGGGCAGCAAGAGCATACATACCCTCTTTTCTCGTTTCTTCATTTTGAAATTCTTCACCGAAGAAGAATCCCAGTCCTGTTGGCAATTAGACCATGTTAATCTCTTTCTTTGGCTAGGTCACTTATAAATCCTGCACTAATAACTTTTCAGCAAACAAGCCAGACTGCCTAACCTAAAGCCTCAGGAGAAGGAAATTACAAAGGTCTTTGGAGTTTGCTCCAAAGCTGCAGTTAAGTTAACATGCTTCCTTCAAATATTGAAGCAACAGTAACAGAATCAGGAACCAATGCCACAGAGACAGTAAAAGGTTAGAGAATCAACTCCTGTCGTGACCATTACAGGAGCCTGGTTCTTTATTGCTGATTATTTTTCTAATTAGTTTTAGAACTTAGAGAATATAAGACACTGTACTGACCATCACGTTGGATGTGACCGCCATTATCTAATTGGATATTCCATACCACGGTGCCACTTAAAAAGTCAGTTTTAAACCATCAAGAATATCCTTGCTTTTTGGTCTTAAAAGCGAGTTTACCCTTAAATTCTATGCTTTCTACTACAGTCTGGTTTCACTTCTGTTATTGCAGGCACTGGCATTCATTTTAGGATCTTATCTACCTTTGATTCCCTACTCCTGGTTTCCCCTAGAAACAGTCAGTACAGCAAACAGCAGCTCCACATGAACTGAACCACCCCAGCTGATGGTCAAGTAATTTAGCTACAGGTTGATCAGATCCAGTTATAACAGCTAACACAGTTGAGGTTTTCCTCAAAACTCACCTGATGTGTTTGATTCTATATTCCAGACATGCTCTATATCATTCTTCATTTCAAAAGGTGGCTACCCAATATTTATATCCTTAAAATGGATATTTGCTTCTCTGGTTGAATGAGCAAAAACACTCCTAGGCCTATAGTAAACACTTGCTATTTGCTTTGCATCAAAAAAGCCAAACTCACCAGGCAGTAGTGGCACATGCCTTTACCTTTAATCCCAGTGCTCAGGAGGCAGAGGCAGGTGGATCTCTTGAGTTTGAGGCCAGCCTGGTCTACAGAACAAGTTCCAGGACAGCCAAGGCTACACGGAAAAACCCTGGGTGGGGAGGGGAGGGAGAAGAGGGAGGAGGAAAAGACCAAACACTAACAATTTCCTGTGTTCTGTTTTGCTTGCTGGATTTCAGCCTCCCACAGAAATGACACATTACCAGTACACTACCAGTCTCCTGAACATTAAAGACTAAAATATCAGCAGATATATGAAACATTGTCATTTATATAGAAATTCCACCAGTTCTGCACAACTATTACTTAGTCAAAGAATAATATGCTGCCCAGAAATTTAAATCATACCCTCTGGCTGAAGTTAAGGGGTTTAGTTTCCTTCTAATAGAGGTGAAGGATGGCTAAGCCTTCCTCAAGAACCAGACTAATTTGGAAATAAGGTACAAATCTATTCACCTCAGCAGCAGCAAATAAACCTTCCCTGCATCTACATAGTCAGCTTCAGAACAGAACCCTATCTCAAAAATTAAAAGCAAAACACCTTGCCTAGTCAGTCTTGCTAACTTCTATCCAAGCTAAGGCTTTAACAAGTTATGAGATAATCATCTCCTACAGATTCCTCCAAGAGACTCAACCTCACAGCAATCCCCAAATTTCATATTCTTAATTCCAGAAACTAAATATTTAAGTGATTGGTCTTACAGCTCTTATGGATTTATATTTTAAGTTGCTCACTCAGAATCTGTAATAGATCAACTAGTGAAACAGTCATAAAGGATGGCCAAGGACAGGCCAGAGATGCTCCTACAGGAGCAGGTTAACAAAAGTAGAGATCAAATGTTTATTACCAATGATTCATCAGTCTTGTCAAAGCTGATATCTGATAAAATGGAACCAGATTCATCAATCGTTGACAGTCTGGATTAAAAACAATAACACAGCATTAGACACAGACAACATAAAACATAAAAACGGCACCCCGAGTAGTCCCACAGGTCGGTAACAGACAAGTCAGCCTAGCTGCAGAGAGCTGTTTTCTATGGTCTCCACAGAGCAACGGGACCGCAGGAACAGCACGGCAAGTAGCACAGCCAGGGCCATGCAGTCCTTTCTTGCTGAGGATGTACTACATGCGGGCTGAGGTTCAATTTGGTTCCAACAATGTCCGTTGCTGCTTACAAGTGAGTATTACCCAGCGCTGCACTTGTGATTTGTTTCTGTTGTTGTTTTTTTGTTTTGTCTGAGACAAGGCCTGTAGCCAAGACTGCCCATGAACTTCCTATGGAACTGCAGATGACCTTCAACTTCTGACTCTCCTGGCCCTACTTTGCAAATGCTGGGATTACAGATGTGTATCTGAAGGCCCAGTTTACAAGGTGCTGGGAACTGAACCATACTAGACTCTGCTCTCTGACCTACATCCCCAGACCCAATGCTGGCTTTTTAAGACAGTAAGCCTAAACTGGATGTAGTAACAATTTTGAAGTATAGGCAGAGGATCAGGAGTTCAAGGCCACCCTGAGATATGTAAGACCCCATTTCAAAAAGTAGAAGGGTTGGGAGGCTGAGTGGTGGCTCAATGATTAAGAGTGCATACTACTCTTCCAGAGGAATGGAGTTCATTCAGTTCCCAGCACCTAAATCAGGCAGCTCTAATCTTCCATAGCTCCCACAGCAGGGAATCCACTACCCTCTTCTGGTTTTCCTGGGCACCCTGTACAAGCATATGGCTCATCCTCTTACACACATACTCATAATATTTTTTTAATCTTTAAAAAAATATAGAAATCAAGCTGGGTGTGGAAAAAAGTATGTCTTCTTATAGATTCCACATAAGCTGGGCAGAGTGGCAGCACAGCTTTAACCCCAGCATTTAGGAGGAAGAGAACTGTGGATCTCTATGAATTTAAGGCCAGCCTGGTTTACACAATAAATTCAGGGCAGCCTGGGCTATACCCTAAGACCCTAGCTCATCAAACCAAACAAAGTAAGATTCCCCATGGACCAACCAGCCAACAAAACAAATAATTCTAAGAGTGTAAGCCTTTTCCTACTTATTGTACTAAGAGTATTACATCCAAAGCCTGGCTGAGACTACTTTAGTGGCACTATGGAACCAAGGTGATTGTCTGGTCCGAGCTCTCTGCAGCCACAAGAGCTCTCTGGAGAGTACACACTGTGCGTGTTCCTGGGCTTGCTACCTCCGCTTGGTTTCTTAGCAATGTACAGGAGCAGTTATCGATGTGCAATTTAACACCAACATCAAAATTGTACCCACAGTGAAACAACATCCTAAGGAAAGCTTAGAAAATAATGAAAGCAAATGGGGGAGGGGTCGCTCATCAGCTCTCCCTCCCAACGCCCTCCGCTAGGGCTCTGTCTGCTTTGTTCAGCACACACCCCGGAAGCAGTGTATTTCCGAGGTCAGATAGCGGGGTTTTGGCAGCTGGGCCGCCTGTGATCAGATAACAGCAGATGCAGTCTCCCACCTATTGTTGCCAGCGTTGCCACTGGATGCTTGGCCGCGGTTGAGAAAAGCCAGAGCTGACTTTTGTTCCTCGCTCAGCTGAATACTGCCAGATGTGTCACACATGAGTATATCTCGAATCAGCTGAATCTGTTGTTCCTACAGACCGAAGCACAGTAAAACACCACACTAGCCAGGAAAGAAAACTTCAGCTCAAATTTATGGGACAGGCAGAAGACATTAAAATACAACATTATGCAAATGGGACTTCAGGAAGGCATAACAACAGAATATTAATTCACATCAAGCCGAGACTGTGGCTGGTTTCTGATGAGTAAAATCAACTCCAAATAGTGGGGTCTCTGCTCTAACACTTCTAGATCAAACTGGTAATCCAAGGAAACTGATACAGAATGAGAGTTCTAAAATAGATTTCACATAGCAAAAATGTTTCAAGTGTCATTTTTATCAGAACAATTATTGGCTTCTTTTCTGGACCGAAGCAGTCACATGTTTTTCTAAATGATTGAACAAAATGCATTAAGAGATACAAGGCTGTAATGCAGACGGTGTGGGCTTACTGAGGCATCTACCACTGAGCTAAGATGGATTAATCCTCTGCAGTAAAGCTCGCTACTGCACCATGACCCATCCTGACACATCAAAATAACAGTGCTGTGTGCCAGTCACATGCTTGACTCTCTGACTACATCTAGCCCTTTGCCCCGAGCTAGAGAGCGGTGATGAAGAATCAGAGTTGCCCCGCCTGCATCAAAGACAGAGGGTCAATCCCACCAACTCATCAGAGGACAGTACCCTTGGCATTTATAATAACAATATAGGCTAGGCATAGGTGGCATATACCACTAAGTCCAGTATTCTGGAAGCAGAGGCAGGAGGATCACCCGTAAGTTTGAGACCATCAGCGATTATATAGTAGAATCTTGTGACTGACACACACATACACACCTCTGCAGAATAGCAAATAAATTATGTTTGACAAGTATTCTAGAAGTTTGTTATTAATCTCCCTTATTTTAATTCTAAAAAAAAAAAGAAAGAAAGAGAATAAGTGCTGGAGTCCAGGACCTTGTACATTCCAGGCAAGCATTTTACCAACTGTACTACATCCTTAGCTGCTTTGTTTGAATTCTTTAAATTCTTATTTGAAATCTGTCTAGTGAGAAACAGTTTCAAGTCTAAAGGAGAAAATAAAATTTAATTTAAAGCTAAAAAATAGAGGCCACAGGCTTCAATCTTATCTCAATCACAGGCAAAATGTCAAAGAATTCCTTATGCAGAAAGAAAAACATTATCAATGCCTCCCTACCCCATCACCAATCTAAGGTGCAAATACACACCAGCTTCGCACACTCAGCCTCAGCCCGCTGTCTCCGTTTGATCTCCACGTCCACTTGATTTCGTGCGTGTTTCAGCTTAACGTCCAGAGCTCTCTGCCCAGTCTCTGCTTTCAACAACAGATCTTTGAATTTTTCCAGCTCCTGGTTGGTTCTTTGATACTTTTTCCGGAAATCCTCGAAGTCCTTCGCAAGGTGCATGAATTCAACTAAAGACAGGTAACAACTTCAATAATCCAAGTAGCAAAAGTACAGCTGTTCAAATAACAGGTTCTACAATTAGCTTCACCCCAAATATCAAGTCTTGCTGATCAAACATAGCTGAAAATGACCAGGAACAAACCCTGTTTTGTCACTCTGAACAAAAGCTTAGCAGGAAGCAATTCCTGATTTAATAGGCGTAGCCAGGTCATCTACTATGGAGAATGTAGTCCCACTCACTAGTCACCTGGCTCCAGATGTCACCAACACCTAAAGCTCCTGAACAGAAAGCAATCAAAGAGGGACACCTTTGGGGCAGCTGTTACGCACCAGGACAGCCACATGAAACAAAAACAGCCTCCTTTATAGTCACACAAGGCTGAACCAAGTTAAACAGCAAATTCAGGTATAACTGCTGCAATATGTCCTAGTTGGTGTAGATTAATATCATAGATATCTAAGGCCTGTAATTCCATTCAGTGATAATTATTCAAATATTGATTAGAAAGTAAAGAGCCAGTTGCTTTTGCTGTTTAAAAATGCCCTGAAGGATAAGTAAACACTCCAGTGTAAAAGCAGAAATGATCACACTAGCTCTTGGAATGGGGAATCTGTTGAAATGTCTACAAACACAACAGAACTCCTCCTAAGCAGCATGAAGCAGCTCAAAGGAAGTCAGCCCTGGCGGCACGCATCTTATCCCCTGCTTTGGTGAAGACTTCCCTGCAGTGCATGACTGTCTACAGTTCCCAAGTTAACCTCAACCTATCTCTAAGCATCTCTCTCTATCAACATCACATAGGATGAAACTAAGCCACATTCGTGTAAAGCTAGATTTATGTGAATTAAGGTACTGAGGGTATTTTTGCTATACAAATTTACCATGTATAGAAATACACAACATACAAGCAATTTTCATGTGACTAAACCTTCAACTTAGTATACCAATTCAATCAAAAAAAACTGAGCCACGCACGTGGTGCTGCATGCCTTTAATCAGAGCACTTGGGAGGCAGAGATAGTTGGATCTTTGTGAGTTTAAGGCCAGCTTAGTCTCCAGAATAAGTTTCAGGACAGCCAGGGCTACCTAAAGAAACCCTATCTCAAAGAGAGAGAAAGAGAGAGTGAGAGAGACTGAGTCATAAGGGGACTTATATTAGCAGCAGACCAATTTTAGCAAAACAGAATAGTATGAAAGTTATCTTAGGCAAAGTAAATATCAAGTATCAAAAATTAGAGTTGGAGAGAGGGCTCAAGGGTTAGGAGCACTGGCTGTTCTTCCTGTAGACCCAGTTCAATTCCCAGCATCTATTCAGCAGCTTACAACCGTCTGTAACTCCAGTAACAGGGGCTCCAATACCCTCACAGAGACATAAGATGCAGGCAAAACACCAATGCACATAAAATTTTAATTTTTTTTTTTTAAGAAAAAAATCAAAAATTAAACCAAGATGTGGTGGTGCACACCTTTAGTCCCAGCACTTGGGGACTAAAGGTAGAGGCAGAAAGATCTCTGTAATTTTGAGGCCAGCCTGGTCTACATAGTGAGTTCCAGGGCCAACAGAACTTGGAGGGCTGCAGCAGGAAGAACAAAGCTTTAAGCTAGCCTGGGCTACTTAGTGAGCTAGAGGCCAGCCTGTCTGGAAGCATCAAGAACAGGGGTGCGTGAGGTGGCTTTATGCTTGTAGTCAGGAGGCTGAGGCAAGAGGATTTCCGTGACTCCAACTGAGACCAATCCTCTTAAAAAAAGAAAATAAAAAACCAACATGCTTGGAAATCCAGATTTTCCCCAGTCCCTGAAATAAGTGTGCGTGCTCGCACACACACACTCATGCACAGGATTTTTTAAAAGTAACTATAGAATAAATTTTAATAGCCTTTTGAAGTGAGTGCTCAGTAAGCTTTGGCCATGAGTAGCCATCACTTCCTTTCTAGGCAACCTAAAAAAACACCAACTTCCACACTCCAATACACTTTCGCATTATAACACACCAAAGCGGAGTGTGGTGGTTTCCTTTTTATTTCATCTCCTCCGTGCTCCCTCCCCATCCTCCACGGACCAGCTCAGAATGACTTACTGCTTTCATTTCCTTCACTGATAATCTCCAACCGGCGCACAAGCTGCTCAAACAGAGTCCACAAATTCACCATTGTAGAATCCATCTTTCTGCCAAGAAATCAAATATACATTAGGGAAGCTGCCTTTTCCCCCTTGCAAAAGATTCAATACCAATCTAGTAAACCCATCGGTGACCAACGCCTGCACTCTCCTACTCCAAACCACCATTACAAGAATCTCAAGCCAACAATTTTGTGTGATCTTAATTTATATTAAAAGGTTATTTTTTGTTTTGTTTCTTTTTTTTTGCTTTTCTTGCTCAATCTTTGGTTGATTTAAGAGATCTGCCTGCATGGGGATTAAAGGCGTGTACCATCACACCAGGCTGACTGTTTATTTTTTGAGACAAGATCTTTACTACATTGCTTCAGGTGGCCTTAAACTTCCTGCCTTGGCCTTCCAAATGCTGGGATTACAAGAATGTGCCAGACCAAAGTTGCAATAAGATTCACTTATGAAGCCAGGCTGTGGTGGCTCACACCTTTAATCCCAGTAGTTGGAAAGCAGAGGCAGGTCATTCTCTCTGAGTTCCAGGCCAGCCTGGTCTACAAAGTAAGTCCAGACAAGGCTACACAGAGAAACCCTGTATCAAAAAACAAACAAAAGATTCACTTTTGAACTAGAAAACCAGTGGAAAGCACTGATGACATGCCCCTCCCTGTCTACACCAATCCCACTCCTTACAACAGGGTTAGTGCTAACTCCTTTCAGTAAGAATGAACATGTCAGAGGATTAGAAACAACAGCACAAATGTGGTTCTTCAAATCTAATAACATTGTTTTTGCTACTTTAATCTTTCTGACTTTAAAAACCTATAACGTAACTTAAAATATGTATTTTTAATTTTACTTTTGGCTAACATCCTGTCACAACTGTCTCTTAAAAGGCAGGGCATGGTCAGCACATTTCCCACCAATGGCACAGGTGACACCACAGTGGTGAAGTGGGGAAACTGCCAGCTCAGCAGCACAAGAATTATTCTGTAGTGCGGGGTTCTCCTGGACTGCACGCAGGACTGTGTCTAATAAATTTATACCAAGTATAGGCGGTGGATCACGTCCTCCCACTCTGGCAGCAGAGACAATGCACCACCTTCACAGGACAAGGGCAAAGGGAAAACCATTTGCTAGTGTGCTCTGTATAGGGAATTTCAGACTCTGTGTTTCCCCCCAAAGACCACCTAATATTGCATTAAAAACTCAGGCCTTCCAGGCAGCTCTGTTTCACACAGACTTCAACCAAGAATGGGTTAGGAAAATAAGGTTTTTACTGAGAAGTCAAGAAAGACATTTACTAGATGTGACAAAAAATATTAAGATAAGATGGTCAGATTTCACTTAAAAATAAAATATTCTTAGAAACACAATAGAGGATGCTCATGCTCTTCTCACCCCTGATGCTCTGTCTAGGCCGTTATTTTACGTCTCTAAACAACAGCTTCAGAACTCTATTTTGAATTTTTTAGTGATTTTGTAAATGTTTTTAAGATTGTACCACAAGCTATGACACTAAAAAAATAGAAAAAGGAAAAGAACAAACAAGCCAAACCCCACAAAGAACAAAGGAATTATGAGCATAAAACTATTCTCTATTAAACACTACAGAAATGTTCATTTGTACTCATGCAGCAACTGCTGTCATAACAAATAAAATAAAATAAAGTAAAGTAAAATAAAATAAATTCTATCAGTCTCCAGATTGTCTGCAGCACAACCTGAATAAGGGCTGGAAACCATGCTCTGCAAACGCCAGTGTGTCTGGTTGCAAGCAACTGGCCATGGCAAGCTGCTAAGCAACCAAACTAGCTGACTTATCACAAACATCTTCCTCCACAGTAGAACAAAGTAGACTGCCATCAAGGCCAACAGGAAGATATGTGGAGAGGTGCGTGGACTTAACAAAACCCAGAAAGGTGCTGCAGAACAGAACAGGTTCAATTCAAACGATGACTTCCTTTGGCTCCAGTAAAAATGGAGGCTACTAGTCAGCAGCTTTAACATGGGATACTGATCTACCTCAACGTCATAAGTAAAGCCTGTTTCTTCTACCTCAACATCAGAAGTGTATCCAGCAATTCAGAACAAAAAAACTTCTGCTACAGGACTCAGACAAGCAGTTTCTGCGGCAACTCTGGTGAAGAAGGGGGAGGGTTTTTTCTTGATTTTGAGACCTGTCCTGGAACCCAGGATCTACATGCTTGCCTCTAGAATTAAAGGTGTACGACACTACAGCAGGCAAAAACAGTATTTTCAAGCAAGTGTGGCACTTTGTGCTGCCAGCAGGAGGGCCACAAGCGGTCAGGGAGCTACGTGGCAAGGCCTTGTCTCAAGATACAGCCTTTAAAAATGTAGTATATACTGACACTAAGACCAACCTGACTCCCTCTATGATTTGTCTGTACCACTCCAAAGTGAATTTCCTTGCAGCATGACTAGGATGCTAAGGGACTAGCGTGCCCTTGAAAAAGGACCTGAAGGAACTAGGTGGTCCTATTGCTCTTCTGCCACATGAGGTCACAAAAAGGCATCATTATGGAAACAAAAGAAATCCTTCCCAAGCAATCTTAAATCTTGGACTTTCTAAACTCTAAGAAATAGTGCCTATGGGGAGGTGAAGAGGCTGAGAGAGAGCGCACCATTATCCATGATGTACTTGCTGCGCAAGCATGAGGACCAGGTCTGCCCCAGCACCCAGAGCTCAGATAAGAACCCTCCACACAAGTTTAAGAATCCAGGTCAACCCCACAGACTGACAGGATGACTACCAGAAGTTACCCTCTGACCAACACATGCATGCCACGTCAGCCGTCACGTGCACACTGCCTACAACATACACACTGTAAAAAGAGAAATAAATTCTAAGCTAAGCAGATGATGTGCACTTATCATCTTAGCACGGGGAAGCAATCAAAGGATCCTTAGCGATCCCCTCAGGTCTCAATGAGACTTGTCTCAAAAACATGACATGGTGATGCATGCCTTTCGCTCCACTGTTTAATCCCAGCACTAGGGAGGCAGAGGCAGTCAGGCCTCTGTGAGTTAAGGCCAGCCTGGGATACAGAGTAAGACTGTCTCAAAAAAAGCAAAAAGCCCAAGGCACACAGCTCCCCAGGAACACCACTGGAGGCTGGCCTGGTCCCAGTTTAAGGTATTTTGTTACAGTAGCAGGAATAAGAACAGAATCCTCCCCCTTTCTCAAGCTTCTTAGTTCATCATTAGTCTGGTTTGTTTGTGTACTCCAAAGAGTAAGGGTTAGAAGTTGGTTTGCTGTGGCTTTGTTGTGCTATTTTCTTTTGAGGAAAGAGCTGTTCTGAAACAGTTAAAGCCATGACACTCCTACATCAGCCTCCCAACTGCTAAGATTAAAAGGTATGAACCCCTCTGCCCAGCTGAAGAAAACCACCTCTTAAAAACAAACCTGATTCCAAAAGCACAGACTGTGCACGAGCCCCTGTACCACAGCAGCCGCTGTACAGAGTCACACTAGGTTATTTTAAATCCTAATGCTCTGTTGTATGCAGAGAGGCATCTTTTCTGTCAGTGTTTCATGGTTTTACCAGCAGACCAGGTCTCCTTCCCAGTGCCAAGCATTATCTAAATTAAACCCCCAAATTCTCTGAATTTATCAAACTACTCTGCTCTAGCCACTGCCCTGTGCACCAGTTTTTCTCTCTACCCCTAGTCTGGCTAACTAAAGTGCTTGGACACTCTAAATGCTAAACTTGTCTATTATTCTTCCCTTCCCCTTCATATACATCAACTATCCTATTGACTCCCAGTTTTTTGCTATTGTTTTTTTTGAGACAGAGTCTCACTATGTAGCCTATGCTAGCCTGGAACTTGCTGTGACTGCCTCTGCCTCCTTAGGGCCGAGACTAGAGGTGTGCACCACGAGGCCTGGCTCTGATTCCCAATTTTTATCTCCCTATTTTCTTTATCCTTTTAGCCATTCAGTTCCAAATTTCAGAAATATCTTTGATTTCCCTTCTCTGCAAGAATAACCAACAACTGTGGACTTTTCTCATATATGTATTAGAGTCTCCTCATCCCATGCAGTTGTCACTGCTCAATCCAACTGACTTTCTACCTTACCTGTCTTTCCTGCCTCCACTGTCCCCAACCCATCCCCTGCTACTCTTTTTTTTTTTTTTTAATCCCTGCTACTCTTATCTGTTGCTATTCAGACCAGTCAAATGCCCTTCACTCTAATTTAATTTTACTAAATTTGAGGGCAGGAATCTTGCATCTGATACTATGGTGTTAAATACAAACTCAGTATTTAACACGATGTCTAGACACAAATAGATGCACAAACAATACTTCTGTCATGCCACCTTGATATCATTATGTAATATAGAGGACAGCCTACAAGACCTAGACCTTATGCATGCAGATGGGTTTACCTTTTAAGTAACTGCTAAGACTGACTATAGATGGTCACAGAATTTTCACAGAAAATTCAAAATATAGATGAAATTATACAATACATAATCTGAACCTTATAAAAAATACAGCTTAATAAACATGAAGTTGGTCTTTGTGGGTTTTTTGGGGTCTGAAAGCTGTTAATTAGATTCTGGAAGAGTGATTCTCAACTCTAGTAATTTTCCCTAAGTAGTCTAGACTGTCTTCACATGAGGCACCATGAAATTCAGAAGCCTGGGCCATTTTTTAAATAGTGCTACATATTATTTAATATATGCCTTTGCTGTGAATTGAGTACTAAACCTGACATTTCACATTTTTCTTCATGTGAATCTAATTAACTAAGCTGCCATTTTACAACTTAAAGAATCAGAAACCTGAGATGACTAAATGCTGAGCATACAATGAAATGCATGTGTCTATTTTCTTTCCACCCTAACACACTAAAATGTCATAAAAATATCCACTCTATATGCTGCAGATTTTCTCAGACACCTGCAAACCATAAGAGCCACACAAAGCAGAGCCATGTGTGTCTGTGTGTGAACACAGATGTCAGCTAGAATCCAGACCTCCCCCCCCCCAAAAGAGACTGCAAACTTCTGACCTGTCAAACAAGCTGTTCTTGATGAGGCTCTTGCTTCTGAGGAAAGCTCATTTTCCCCCTCTCATATAGGTTTACATAGGAGAATCAAAACATAATACCTGTAAAATATACTCCTCTTTATATGCTGGGGGTTTGTATATTTTTACAGAGTATATTTGTATATTCTACAGAAGTGACTCTCAGGAATTATTTACAGGTGACAAAAATACCTCTGCTCAACACTAATTCTCACTATCTCAGCCAAATTGAACCCCGAGAGCGAGAACATCCTTTTCAGTGTCAATTGGGAATGGCTTTAATTTTCCTGCTGGGCCACATTTTCATTCTGTCTATTTCCTCCCTCTTTATTATTTAGCTTCATGGCTAGGCGAAGCACTAATGTAATAGGAACAGCCGTGTTGCACAGTGCTGCTCTCGGCTGTAAAGCAGCTGTCACTTCCCACAGCAGAGGCAGCCCCTGTGTGGCACAAGGAAATCAGTTTATAGAGCGTTTTAAACAGAAAGGTGGCCAGAACCTCCACTGTTATTGATGGGGAGGCCCAGAGGTGGAGAAGTCACTGTGTTACATTCCCAATCTGTGAGTATCCCTAAGGGAGCAATTTGGAGACACCAGGAAAAAGAGCCTCAGCTTGCTATGATTGCTTTGAGCCACCAATTTAATTTCAATCACCCAGCAAAAAGACAGACAGTCCTTCAGAACAACAGACTATTACAGATCTTACTGCAGGGTATCCTGGGAAAAGCATCTATACTCGTCCTACAAACAACATTATTAAGAAAACTATATATCAGGTTTTTAAGATGCATCAAGAGTGTTATATAGCGTAAGACAAAGCAATAACAGATTGCTTGATTTTTTTTTTTCCAGCAAAGTGTTTTAATGAAAAACATTACTATATGCATTGCTGTTCTAGAGATTCCTAAGAAATTAACAATGTAGGTTTCCTGCTGCTAAGGAAAAACTCTCCAAAGACAAGCTCAACACTAGGATGCTTTCACTCAAAAGCACTCAAGAACAACTCATGTCCTTAAATGTCCAGCTTCCACTCAGTATCAGAGGCCCCATCCAAGTGGCAGAACTCCAACATGAGACCAAATGTTCCCAAGAGCAAACCAACTGCAGAAAGAGTGACCAGGATGCCCTCAGCTCAACGTGAGTGAAGACCAAAGCAAGGGGAGAGAAAACTGGACTATGACGTTTTAAGCTCAGCACACTGGCGTTGTTTCCTGCTAGGCCTTCCGGAGCTTCTTTAATGGTACTGAAGCCTTTTCCTAATGATTCCAATCAACTCAGGCAGACATGAAATGTCACACTGTCTCACAATGTGAATATATGTTGGGGGAGGAGGGTAACAACACCAGCCTTTAACTGGTGAAAGAAAAACCTCATCACTCTAAGCCACACCCTTTGCCCATCATACTACACCAGAGCTCTGCTGCAGGGCACACCCATTCATTATTTATTTGTTTGTTTGTTTGTTTATCATTGTTTCCATTAAGCAAGAACTAAAGAGGTGATGGGCTACTACTGGTCTAACCATTCACTTTGGATTTAGGATTTTGGATTTAGTTTTTCAGTTATCCTCTGCCTGCAGTCTCTGGCATGATCTGTCATGCCATCCCGTCCAGGATCTCTCTTGCCCGCCCCAGGAATCTTCACTTATTTCTCAGTTTCTACTAACCACCCTTTTTAAATTGCAGCCTTTTCTGAAACACCTGGTTTCTTTTGCTCCAGATCACTTGTCTCTGCCTAATATATTTCCTTAGTTTACTGTCTGGAAAGCAGATTCTGTCTGTCCTATTGGTTGCAGAGCCACTGTTGTCTAGAACACCACCCAGTGCCTGGTAGGTGACCTGACAGTAACTGAATGGGTAAGCCTCCGCATAAACCAGTATTCCTCAGGTCTGCAAGGACAGTCCTTGGAACAGGTTTTAAATTAATATATCATGGTATAAAAGCCTTATGTTTTTGATAAATACTGCCAAAATATTTTCTTAAACAACTGTAGTAACTGAACATGGTGGCATGTGCCTCTGTAAGCTCAGCTACTCTGGCTCCTGAGGCAGGGCAATCCTCATCTGGCTAGCCAACAAGACTTTGCCAACAAGACTTTCCCAGGGGACTAAAAAGCCAATGTTAGGAATTCTACTTAAAGAAGCCTGTAGTTGTGGTGGCCTGTAGCTTAGCTGATACCATGCTTGCCTCGTACGACTGAGAAGCCCCTGGCTTCTGTCCTCAACACAGCAAATCCTGAGAACGGTGGACCACACTTTCGATCTCCAAATTATCCTGTAAAGCCTGTGCTCCAGCACTCTGGAGAGAGGAGAATCAGAAGTCCAAGGTTAGCCTTGGCTACAAGAGGCCGAGCTGGGCCACATTAAGACACTGTCACACACACTCACGGTGTGCAGTTTAGGAGCGATAGAACTTGAAAAGCTCATCGGTGACTCCAGTAATCCTCCAGTTCACTACTGGGAGTATCACAGTGTGTCTCTCCCTCTCTTTCTTTTTTCAGGCACAAAAACAAAAGCTCTCATCCCAAGGGAAATGAGTGTTCCTTCTTGAGCCAAATATAAGTGACCCCGGCCCTGGAACATGAATCCAGGTTACCCAAATACCATGTTCTGATATAATCAGTCTCATTAAGTTTTATAGTTAAGAACAAAAGAAAGTCACAAGTCAAGGAACTCTTAAAAACGCTCTGGTGGGCACTTCACGCAGGTTTCTGACGTTCCCAGATAACAGGGTTAGCATTTCTGGTGGTGGAATATGCTATTATATATTAATATATCCCAATGGGTTTCACGTGCTAGCCACAGGACGGTAGGTCAGTGACAGAGTTAGGCGATAAATTATTATTAAAAGGAGGACTACAAATCACACGAGGTGGGCTCCGAATCTGCAACATTCCAACTCTCCACACTGAGGGCCGTTCTAATTAGCCTTGTGGGAGAGACAGCCTAGAAGGGGGAGGCCGCCCAGGTTCCTCAGACACCTGACTTCTCCCTCAGTGAGGCCGGTTCCTCACAGAAGCGTAGGAGGGGGCTCTCTCCCAGCCGCTCCCACGCTCGGCGCCGAAGTTGGCGAAGACCACCGTGGGGGCGCCACACCCGCCCGCGCCCGGCCACGCCTCAAAGGACGCCCCTGACTTTGGACGGAACGCCACGCCGAGAGCAGCCCCCTCCCGCCGCCGCTCGCGGCCTTCCCGCCGGCTTACCGAGGCTCCCGGCCCCGCGCACACGCAGCCGGGTTCGGCCCGCGGCGCTCACTCCGCAGCCGACGCGCCCCAGGACGGCTGCTGTCCACCAGCTGCGCGCTTCACTAACGGCAGTGAGCAACCGCGCCGCCAGATCCGGTTCAAAATCGCGCACCAGCCAATCACAGAGGACCTCGCCCTGGCTACCGCGCACGCGCCTGGGCCAGGGGGCGGGCGCAAATGCAAAGTGAACATGCGCATTACGATCGGGAGACGCCGAAAGGCGGCCATTTTGACTAAGGTCACAGTTTGGGTGGGGGCATTGTGGGGCGTACTGGGTGTTTTGTGGTCCGTGTAGGACCCCCTCCTCCGCCTCCGGCTCCCTTTCCTGCAATTATTCTAATGACCTGTTGACTAATTGCGTATTATTATTGCCTCCCTGTTTCCCCAGGCAGCCAAATAGGGCTCTTGGAAATTAATAACTGAATAGTTTCGGGTCTCACTGTAGAATAGGAAGAATTCCAAAAGGAGACAGAGCAGCGATCATTATAACCATATTTACGGAGCTATAATTATCCCTTCATTCATTCACGCATTCATTCAGACTTTTATTTGATGCACAGTAAGTATGCCAACTTCATAGCAAGCGCTGTGCTAGGAACCAGAAAAAATATAGATCATGTGGTCTCTGCTTTCCAGTAGCTATGAATGGGGGAGACAGCGCAAGGAAACAAACAGAAATACAAAATGAAGTGTTATAATTCCGCTTAATAAATGTCACTTAAAATTTGGCATTGTGCTGGTACAGAGGCTTTGAAACTTTTAAAGATCCGGACCCAATATTAGAAATGTGCTCTACACTGCACAGTATCAGTGAACTATTCATCCTTAATCTATTGGTGGACTCTCAATTTTTCTATTCTTTGTTTGTTATTTCTCTCTGTGTTGGAGCCACTTTCTTCCTGAATTTACTAATCAATGAGGAGTGGCTACCAGCACCTTGACAAAACCCTGGCTAGCTAGAGCATAGTGGAAACAGTGTGCTAGGCACTGTGCTAGCACAAGTCTTTATTCCTAGAACTTCGGAGGCAGAGGCAGGTGGTTCTCTGTAAGTTCAAGGCCAGCCTGGTCTACATAGTGGGCTCCAGGCTAGCCCACCTCTCACTACTGAAATCAGCCTGGTCTGCTTCAGTAATCCAACTACCAAGGAAACTGTACCCTTTTTGAACTCTTTAAAACTGTGGTATTTTAAAAGGCACTTCTGTGTGGGTGTGGTGGCACACACCCATAATTCCAGCACTTGGGAAGTAGAGGCTGAGAGATCAAGACCAGCCTCTGCTATTTATTGAACTCCAGACCAGCCTAAAACAAACAAAAGAGCTGATCTAACCATGCCTCTTCCCTGCTGAAAACTGTTAATCACTTCACCTCTCCTCCCTAAAAAAGCCATTTATCCAATGAGGGTTTATCTCATTGGATCATTCAGAGGAATGTCTCAGACATCTTTGTGAGACTCATGTCCCAGTACAAAGTGAGTACTCAGTAAATGCCCCTTGCCTTGCTCGCCTGGCCACCAGCTTCCGCAGGACAGCAGTAGCGCTCCGTTGATTAACGGCTACAGTTTCCAGCGTAAGCAGCCCCAGTAAAGTCATTCAAGTGCGGGTGAGTTCAGCTCAACCAGAGGGTGGCAGCATGCCACCCCACCACGCAAACAACTTATTCCAAATGGTGCAGGGGGCCCCGGGAGAGAGGGCCCGGGACGGACAGCCTGTCCTCCTACACCTCCACCCGAACCAAGCGCCACCCCGCTCAACTCCTTCTGCCTGCTGCACCAGCCTGGTGAGAAGAAAAAAAAAAAACAAAAACGCAGAGGGAGGGTGCAGGTACGGAGTCAGGGTACTGCGGGTACAATCCTTTCGCTCCCAAACTGAGTTTTCTGCAGAGGACCGTGCTGGGCTGCAAAGGGAAAAGGAAAGGCTCCGGTTACAGGAAGCCTAGAGTTCGATCCCAGCTCTGCCACTTACTGGAGGCGCTGGCTTTTAACCTGCTTCTTCCATCTCTCCGGCCTCTGGAGACGCAGCGGTCTCGAGTGCCGGAACGCGGGTGTTTTAAGTGTGAAAGGGCTGCCGTGTGCGGGAACGTGCCGTGGTGGGGCGAGTCATTCCTGGCGGAGCAGGGACCCTTGCCGGGCAGCCCCATCCCGCCCTGCCCGAACCCCTCCAGGCCTCGAGCCAGAGATCCGGACATTGGTCTTTTCACTTCGCCCACCCCACCAGTTCCTTCAAGTTTGCTCTGCGCCGGGACTCTTTCCAGAGATGCAAACTGAGCCTCCACTCGATGGTCTCAGCAACCCCTCCTACCCCCAACACACACAATCCAGTAGTGAGCACTCCTGCCCCGGAAAGGCAGTGCGCCCTGCTCAGGAAGGGGCGACAATGCGGCAGAGGCCTGGCCTCTGACAGCGCCAGGCTGTTCCGGGCCTGGACTCTGAATTCAGATGCCTGAGACTGATGTCCAAAGCACGGGCAGACCCCAACCCAGAGGATGGAAAGTGAAACAGGTCAAATGAAAATGGGGGTGCAGGCAGCGTGACTGGAGCACAAGGCCCCGGAAGTCTAGGGACAAGACTGGAAATGATTTTCACAGAGCCTTGTGAGACACCTTAATACCAGGCCAAACTAGCTAAATGTACTTGGTGGGGGCTCTGTTCCTTCACTTCCCTGACACTTGAACGTGTGTGATGGTAGCAATCAATTGTAAAGGCTGTTTGTTGGGGGCATTCAATCAAGCTGTTTACAAAGCTCAACCCAGGGCTAGGCACGCACTGTACTCTAAGAACATCTGCTGGCTTTTGTATTTGGTTTTGTTTGCTTGTTTGTTTTGACAGTTTTACGTAGCCCAGGTTGACCTTGAACTCACCAGGAAGCCAAGAATTATTTGGGACATCCCACCTTAAGCCTTACTGGGCGTGGACCCAGGATCTTTTGGCAAAGAAGTGCTCTACAGAATGAGCCACAGCCCAGACCAGCGGCTATTTATTACTTTGTATCTCCTTGTCTTCCTCTGTCTGATCAGACTTCGGAAAGGCTGAATTTCTCAAATTCCACCTCAGCTATCCTCTGGTGGGATGCGGAAAAGCATCGAGCATGAAGCAACTGAGAAGCACGGCCTGGTAGCCTTTAGTCCCAGCACTCAGGCAGCAGAAGCAGCTGCGTCTCTGAGTTCAAGGCCAGCCTAGTCTATATATCTCCTGAATTCCAGGACAGCCAGAGCTACATAATAGACAGAGCTTGTGGTTCGGGAGGGAGAGAACGGAGAGAAGAGATACAGAAAGCATTCCATTCCAACCTAAAGATCCACAAAAAGAGACGGATTGTACACTTTCCCGGGAAAGACAGACATGCATGCACACACAAACTCAGAATTAATTTTAGCAGAACAAATGAAAAACCTAGAGCTCCAGTCCCCAGTCACCCCACCTCCAGCTTCTCCTGCTAGAGCGTGTGACTGGCTTGGTGTGCCTCTCTGTGTTCAGGCTGCTGCCTCACCCCATCTGTGAACACACCTTGCTCATTTTTGCCTGTCTCAAACATCGCCAGAGCACCACTCACCTGCCTCTGAGCTACAGACTCTCAGAATCACTCTGTGTAACTGCCTACCCTTAGTTTTTTGTTTTGTTTTGTTGGTCGGCTGAGGTTTTTTTGGTTTGGTTTGGTTTGGTTTGTTTTTTTGAGACAGGGTCTTACTATGTAGCCTTGGCAGTCTTAGAACTCACAAGCCCTTGGCAGTCCTGGAACTCACAAAGTAGACTAGGCTGGCCTTGAACTTAAAAAGATCCACCTGCGGCCAGGCATGGTGGCACACGCCTTTGGTCCCAGCACTTGGGAGGCAGAGAGAGGCAGGAGGATCTTTGCGAATTCAAGACCAGCCTGGTTTACAGAGCGAGTCTAGGACAACCAGGGCTGTTACACAGAGAAACTCTATCTCGAAAAACCAAACAAACAAAAAACCCCAAAACAAACAGACAAAAAGATCCACCTGCCTCTGCCTCCCAAGTGCTAGGATTAAAGGTGTGCACCACCACGCCCAGTCCAGTTCCCTCTTAAACCTCTTTGCCCCATCCTCCACACATCTTACCCTTATAGAATGTCCCACTGTGTTTTGCAAACTAAGGGCTCTTTAGAAAAAAAAAGGGGGGGGATAACCAAAGGAATAGCAGTATGCGTATTTGGCCAGGCTTCTCCAGGCAGCAGAGGACAGTGTGACAGGCAGGCAGGCAGGCATCCCTTAAACACGCATGCACTGGTTCACCAGCACCAGTGGGCACACACAAACACAGATGTGTTACCCTGCAGCCTTACGCTTGCTTCCTCACTACCCAGCCTGCATCCACGCAGGGAGAGCCCGGGGCCCCACACGCCTAGGAACTTTCAGCAGTCTGGAGAGAAGGCCCTGTCAAGCCAGGCATCGCTGCCGCTGCCCCACTGACAGCCTATCCCTTCCCACCCCTCCCACCTCTTCCCTGCTCCTCCTCTCTACCTCCCTCCCACCTCCGTGAAGCCTTCAAGGCTGGGAGGGAGGTCAGAATGGAGCCCATCCTGGCAAAATGAGAAAAGATTAGAGCAATACATTTGCTGTCAATGGCAATAAGGCTGCCTGAGCAGGGGAGGGGGAAGATTTGATTTCGGGCTCTCCAGGGGTCTTGATAGGAGAAGGCTGGCAGCCTGCAGCCTCAGGCCTGGGCCTGACAGCATGAAGGGCTACTCCCAGCTCCAGCCAACAGGGGACCCTGGTGTCCTGATTCTCCCATCTCCTTATCGACCCTGTACCCTGTTCTCTGCAGTTATCCGCAGGGTTCCCCCGCCCTTTTCTCGCCTGCCCCTCCTTTCTCCCTCTCCTCCGACAAACTTGTTTTCCCAAAGCAGTTTTTCTACCTAGTACAGGGTGATGAAGCAGAAACACACTGCTCTGGGGGCTGGAGAGGAGGCTGAGACCCCAACCTCCAGTTGCCTCTCAGCGGGAGACAGTCACTGAGCCTCTTTAAAGAGTGTTTAAGAAAAAAATAAAAAGGTGACATTTGTCATCCAGAGACCTGGGGTCAGCCAAGCAC